AACGTAACGACGATCAAGATTTCTTTAAAAATAAAGAATTACTTATATAAATTTTAGTTTAAAAATATATATTTTTTTTACATTACGAAAGAATTTTTATAGAGAAAATCGTATACAGCTTTTAAAATCAAAACATTTTTGCTTATATAATTCCTTATTATTTTTTTTTTATTATATTTTATAATAATATACATAAACTGCATTATATGCACAAAAGCAAAAATATTCAGCTGCAAGAGCTTACATTTATCCACTTTACGATATTTTCTTTTATAATATTTTAAAAATAATAAAAGAATTTGTAAAAATTTAAACAGTTTTAACGGATGATAATTATTTGAATTTTTTACAACAATTTAATTTAATTCCATATTAATAAAATTAAAAGAAACAATATATTACTTTAATTTGTTATATAAAATGATTATTTGTATTTATTTAGAATTTTATTTTATGCAAGTTTATAAAATATATTAAAAAATTTTATTCATTTATATAATAAAAATCTATAATATGGCTGCTCATATTATGATGTGTTTTTTCTCATATTAGAATAAAGTATTTTCAAGTTCTCTCTGCTTATTAACCGTGGTGGAGAAATAAAATAAAATAAACAAATTAGAATAGTATATACGTTTTGAGAAGTTATAAAGGACAAATAATTTTGACAGGGTTTTTTTTTTCCTTCCTCGTATTATTATAATAAATATAGTCGATTTAATTTTCGAGTAATGTCTGCCAACAACTGCATCGAAAATTTTACGCCTGTAAATCATACTTCCCTGCAATGCGCGCGTGAAATTAGGAGAAGCGCGATAGGCTTTATCCTCCGCTCGTAATAGCTTCGTGGTAACGCTATCACGTGACCGTATTTTATAAACTTTTTAAAGGAAGGAGACGTTGTCGGCAATTGTTCACTCGCTCCGACGAAATTTCTGGAAATTTACTGGTAATTCCTCTAACGGAAACACTCCGGATAAATGGAATTTATAGAAAATGGAGATTCGTTTAGACGCAACTCCACTAAAGGAAATATAGTTTTTAGCCTTTGTTTCTCTTATTTTTTTCGTCTCTATCAAAGTTCTGTTTAACTGGTAAATGGAGTTATTGTTAATTTTCGACACGTCGACGTCACATACACGTTTATTCACAACGGTAGAAATACAAACAGACACAGTAATAGACAGGAGAAGTTTGTTATAGAATCGTATCTTACTCTAGAAAGTTCTCCTGTCATCAAAAGACAGGATTATACAAGACAACGACTTATTTTAAAGCAAGAATAACATTTAAAAGGCGAAATTCAACAATTATATTTACAAGAAAATGAGGAAAGTTTTAGGAAAAGGCAACGTGAGTTGGAACAATAAAATAAAAAGTAGTCGACCCGCGTATTGTAATAAACTCTTTTAATATTCTTTTTTATGATAGATTCCCTATAATGCAGCTACTAAGAATGGTACTTGACGAAACCGAAATTGTATAGGGCCTAGTAAAGAACAGCTTACTTTGTTTATGTACAGGATATAAGCCTTATATCGAGTCCGATTTTTGTGATGTTTCTGTAAATATGAAACAGAAAGGATGAGTAAGAGTAAAGCCTAAAGTGAATTATTTTCTCTACGGCTTTCTTTTATTGCTATATTATATTATATTTCTCATAGATTTTTACCATTAAATTAACAATTAAACCTGATTTTAATTAGAATATTATATTAGATTTCGTTTTAAAAACTCAAGTGGATAGTAACGCGTAAGATTTTAAGGGAAATTCGAGATCTTAATTCTTACTATAATACGCACCCTATTAAAAAAAATGTATCTTCGGGCTCTTCTATCATAATACGCCTTCCGAAGCTTATCAAAACTACACCTTAAGGCTATCCTATTGTAGTTGGCATCGTAAAATCCTATAAAAAGTATACAGCTTGTATACTATAACAAGAATTTCGAGTATAACTAGTAATTAACGTGGCGATATCCGTAAACGTAACGACGATACTCATTACAATAACCTTAAACTAATATTATCATCCTTAAGATCGTACGTAACGATGTAAAGTACCGTAACTCCTTTAGACATAAAACATAATTAGGAAACGTACTTAATTAGATTTAAAAATGGAATTTGGAGAATAATAATAATTAATTTTTAATGATATTTTTCGCAACGCGCACTAAATAAAAGGAGGAAAGAAAAATAAAATAGAAGATCGGACGATTTTCTGTGACGCCAGCTTATACAGAGTTGTTACTTTGTGACGCGATTTACATATAAATGTTTTCATAAATTAAACATTATAAGTGTAAATATAAAACAGAAACATATTTGCATTAATATTGTTTTTAAAAATTTATCGGACTCATTAATTTCGCTAGAATAATTGCTTTTTAAGAAACGTAAACGTACGCTTTGCCATAAAGTAAACAAGTTGCAATTGTGCGGATTTTAATACAAAAGATTCGGGCGAATGTCTTCAAATCTCTTATTTTGTGCGGTTTAAATAATATAAATAATTTATTTTTAATTTAAATAATTTTTTAAAATATTTTTCTCCGCAAATTCCTTTTTTTTTCTTCCTATATACGGCCCCATATTTATATTATCACACTCGATCCTATTCATCCATTCCCCGAGGTGTATTCACTCGGTTAAGAGAGAGAGAGAGGGGGGAGAAAAAAAGCATAGGAGCACGCAATCGCGTTAAAATTGTATTTTTCTATTTTTCGAATGAGCGTTGTGAAGTATTAAAAGGAGAAAAATTAATCCGAAGCGTATTTTGCAGCGCAATTCTAACCACGTGACCCTGACATGCTACAGAAGTGGAATGCCCTTCAGATTGTCCTTGTTACCAAGGTAACGGATATGCTACACGTGCGATTCTTAATTCCACTCGGGCTGAATGGCTTTAGTAGAATTCGTTTGTTAGAAAGGAGAGAGAGAAAGAGAAAGGGGGGAGTAATAATAAACCCGGCGCTAAAAAAAAATGAGATTAGAAAAGGTCTTTTATGTTTGTGCAGTGGGAAAGTCGGTTATTAAAATCATTTACGAATGACTTACGATTAAGCTAAAGGTGAAGTGGCTCGGAATTATCCTGGAAGATGGCGACTGAGGTGTGTTACCCGCGTGACGTCGCGACTCAAACTGAGAAAGGCAAGATCGGTCGGCTGCTAGATAATTCGTATTGATTACGAGATCACGCCTATCGGAAATTCGTCTGCTGTCGCAAGTAACGCGGTTCGGTGTGCTTCTTACGCGTTGGTGTGTTTGGAGTGGTCGGGTGGCCCGTGACAGTGCCACGACACGTCGAGGGGCTAGTCGCGCTCGAGCGTTAGGCGCTGTTGTGTTGGAAATGGAATGTAAAAATAGAGCGGAGAGTTGTGTCGAGCGTCGAGGACAAAGGTAACAGCAGACGAACAAAAACGCCCTGTGACGCACACTGATCATGCTCGGTAGCGCCTGCCACGTGCGCACATGTCAGTGCGCAGTCCCTACTGTGTCAACATGGCGGCTAGGTACGGGTTCTGCCACAGATTGTCCACTCCCAGCCTCTAACTACGCCCAAAAATCCAATCACCGATCGTTAAAATCCATCTACGGTAAAGCAAGGAGTGTCAGAGAACCGTTCGATGCATTTTGATTGCCATTAAAACGCGCAAATCATGGAAAACATGGGTGAGCTGGGAGACCAACAAATCAGCGAGCCAGGCAGTGTCAGCGAGCCAGTGGTGGTGGAGAACGTAGAGCCAGTCGACAGTGTGGAGAGTGTAGAGACGGTAGAACCAGCAGACTTACTTCCAACGCACGATTTGGACACAGACATAGAACGTTCGGACAGTGCGGGGGAAGACGTCAACGTGTCATCTACCATGATAGATACCACCGACTTCAGATCCTTAACGGAGCCGAGCTATCAAAGCTTGAACGGAAGGATGTCTCCTGGGTTTACGACAGCGAGTAGTTATGCTACGTTGACGCCACTTCAACCTTTGCCTCCCATATCTACCATGTCGGACAAATTCAGTCATTATGGGCATCATGGAAGTAACGTGAGTGGAAGTTTTACTCTGATGCAGAATACGCCTCTGGGCATGGGTATGAATAGTTATCAGTATGACAAACTTGGTAGCATGACCGGTATGAATATGAGTCCTACACTGGGTGCTACACATCATTCGGCTATGATGAGTAGCAACGGTTTGGGAAGTCAACAGACTGGGATACCATCGCCTCCTTATTCACAAAATGGACTTCACTCACCTGAAAAAAGTATGTCTCCTAATGGTTACGACTCCTACGCACACCGTGATCTTTCCAGGGGGCTTGGTTCACCGCAGAGTCCTACTGTTACCTTGCACACCCCCACTTCGATGATGCCGACACTCAACGGTTTGAATGCACCCCATACTCCACCTTCGAGTCATCTTCAGGCACCCGGTTCACCTCCCGCACCTCACGAAATTAAGCCGGCGACCACCCTTCACGCATCTATGCCAAGTCTCTCTCTTACCGCCCCCACACCCAGTCCAGCAGGGGTTCCACTAACTCAACCAAGTGCTCCTGTTCAAGCATCGGTTCCAAATCCTATCGCTACGTCGACTACTTCTATCGTCACCGCTACTAACAATAACAACGCTAATAGTAGCAAGAGCGTTTCTCCCGCTTCCAGTTCCAAAAGCAGCACAGCTGATGACGTCGAAGAGATCAACACCAAAGAACTGGCACAGCGGATTAGCGCCGAACTTAAACGTTATAGCATTCCACAAGCTATTTTTGCTCAGAGAGTCCTTTGTAGGTCGCAAGGTACCTTGTCTGATTTGTTAAGGAATCCAAAACCATGGAGCAAGCTGAAGTCTGGACGAGAAACATTCCGGAGAATGTACAAGTGGCTGGAAGAACCAGAATTTCAACGGATGTCTGCTCTCAGATTGGCAGGTGGGTGATCCAACCACGTGGAAATGTTGATTTTTTGATTTATTGATTTCCTGCTAAAATAAACCTAGAAAAAAATAAATATATATAATATACATAATTAATTTTAATACTACAATGTGCAATAACCTTTAAAACTATATTTATTCATCTATCCTCGTAAATAAACAAACGGAATGCTTAATTTCAAACATCTCGAAGTGCGCTTCCCTGCATGAGCTCTGATCTCGCAGGAAAAGTCTCATTTACAGGGGCAGAAGCTCTTTCTATTAGTCATCCACTTCAAAACTTATTTTTTTTTATTTTTTTTTTTAACTAATTTATTCATTTTATCTATTTAAACAGATTAATATATATTATATTTTAAAATATAAATATTATTCACAATCCTGATTTTATTGGTTAAAATTGAAAGTTGATAGTGAATTTCATTTTATTCGGACATTTCGAAAATATCCTGCTGGCATTACTAATGATTTCGCTATTGTGATTGGATACGAGAATACAAGTGTAGTAAAAATCTTGTTACAGTTGTGAATGATTCTTTCTCGTTGGTTAACCTCGCCGGTCTCTATCGAGATGAGAAAAACCGACTTCGGTTCCTTTCCTATCGTTTTTGTAAATCGTCGGAGAACGGAATGTGATCCGGAGCGGATAAATAATCATTTTTTTTTTTAATTCAATTTTCCACGATAGTTTTTGTCTCCGCAGACAGGTGGCAGCACCGATCGAAGGTAAAAATCTGTGCTACATAAATGACCATTGTCGCAATAAGCACCAGCGAATAAAAATTGCGTATACAGCCTATCTAAGCAGTAATAAATTGAACTAAATCACTTTGGGCTGTAATCTGAGATGCCTCCTGATCAAGGCGAGTCAAGCATTATGCTACTCCTCTATTCCCCTCTCTCTCTCTCTCCCTCTGTTCAGCCCTAAGGCTTGTACAACCTCTCAGGACGTAGTTGAAAGCTGAGGGGAGGCTGTGCTAACTCGGGCTTTCTTGTCACCCAGACAGGTAAATATATGACTTACTCCTCCTGCACTGATGATTACAAACGTTATCCCGATTCGTAAAGGCACATCTGTCCGATTTCCAAGTTCTGAGAAGCTCTGATGGCTTTACATCTATTCACAGAAGGACAGAACAGTTTTTGGATCTAAACGACAGTCCCTAGGGATGGCTTTTGTTCACACCAACTCTGCAGCAAAGCGTCATCCTCTTCTGTTAGCTGCAAACTCAAAGCTTTACCTATCTCCAAATAAATAACGTTCCAAATTAATTATACTCGCAATCTCTTTTCTTCCACGCTTGATTTCTATAATTCGTAACAAAATACGCTCCGAAAATCATCCCGGATATACGTAGAATTATCGTTATAAAATTAATTAAATCTATACTTATTTTTTTTCCTATGCTAGTAATATTAAAATAGCCTACAATTCTCCTAGAATAGTTCGTGGATATTTTTAAGCTATGATTTTCCAGCATTCTTATTCGGGATTATTTTTATTTTATGATAGTCATTCTCGACTATTCTTCTTCTTCTTCTTCTTTTTTTTTACTTTTATTCTAATGGGAGTCATTTTCGAGGGATCCCTTCTCTAGAAAGAGTCATTTTTTCCAGCATTCTTTCTCCAGAGTCATTTTAGTGGTAGAATTATTTTTATATTCTTACACCACAGTGATAAATCATCTACTCCTTTGTTATAATTATATTCGAATATTCTGTGATGATCTGGATACAGAAATAAACGTTTAATATCATTAACATTTAGGAATATTTACACATAATCCTTTATATATATATATGTGTGTATTTTTTTTTACGTTCCCCCCCTTCTCTTAGAGTATTTACAGTTAGGAAACTTTCAGCTAGGTAAAGATATATCCCAAGGGTTACGACTCCTACGCACACCGTGATCTTTCCAGGGGGCTTGGTTCACTTCCGAAGCTTATCAAAACTACACCTTAAGGCTATCCTATTGTAGTTGGCATCGTAAAATCCTATAAAAAGTATACAGCTTGTATACTATAACAAGAATTTCGAGTATAACTAGTAATTAACGTGGCGATATCCGTAAACGTAACGACGATACTCATTACAATAACCTTAAACTAATATTATCATCCTTAAGATCGTACGTAACGATGTAAAGTACCGTAACTCCTTTAGACATAAAACATAATTAGGAAACGTACTTAATTAGATTTAAAAATGGAATTTGGAGAATAATAATAATTAATTTTTAATGATATTTTTCGCAACGCGCACTAAATAAAAGGAGGAAAGAAAAATAAAATAGAAGATCGGACGATTTTCTGTGACGCCAGCTTATACAGAGTTGTTACTTTGTGACGCGATTTACATATAAATGTTTTCATAAATTAAACATTATAAGTGTAAATATAAAACAGAAACATATTTGCATTAATATTGTTTTTAAAAATTTATCGGACTCATTAATTTCGCTAGAATAATTGCTTTTTAAGAAACGTAAACGTACGCTTTGCCATAAAGTAAACAAGTTGCAATTGTGCGGATTTTAATACAAAAGATTCGGGCGAATGTCTTCAAATCTCTTATTTTGTGCGGTTTAAATAATATAAATAATTTATTTTTAATTTAAATAATTTTTTAAAATATTTTTCTCCGCAAATTCCTTTTTTTTTCTTCCTATATACGGCCCCATATTTATATTATCACACTCGATCCTATTCATCCATTCCCCGAGGTGTATTCACTCGGTTAAGAGAGAGAGAGGGGGGGGAGAAAAAAAGCATAGGAGCACGCAATCGCGTTAAAATTGTATTTTTCTATTTTTCGAATGAGCGTTGTGAAGTATTAAAAGGAGAAAAATTAATCCGAAGCGTATTTTGCAGCGCAATTCTAACCACGTGACCCTGACATGCTACAGAAGTGGAATGCCCTTCAGATTGTCCTTGTTACCAAGGTAACGGATATGCTACACGTGCGATTCTTAATTCCACTCGGGCTGAATGGCTTTAGTAGAATTCGTTTGTTAGAAAGGAGAGAGAGAAAGAGAAAGGGGGGAGTAATAATAAACCCGGCGCTAAAAAAAAAATGAGATTAGAAAAGGTCTTTTATGTTTGTGCAGTGGGAAAGTCGGTTATTAAAATCATTTACGAATGACTTACGATTAAGCTAAAGGTGAAGTGGCTCGGAATTATCCTGGAAGATGGCGACTGAGGTGTGTTACCCGCGTGACGTCGCGACTCAAACTGAGAAAGGCAAGATCGGTCGGCTGCTAGATAATTCGTATTGATTACGAGATCACGCCTATCGGAAATTCGTCTGCTGTCGCAAGTAACGCGGTTCGGTGTGCTTCTTACGCGTTGGTGTGTTTGGAGTGGTCGGGTGGCCCGTGACAGTGCCACGACACGTCGAGGGGCTAGTCGCGCTCGAGCGTTAGGCGCTGTTGTGTTGGAAATGGAATGTAAAAATAGAGCGGAGAGTTGTGTCGAGCGTCGAGGACAAAGGTAACAGCAGACGAACAAAAACGCCCTGTGACGCACACTGATCATGCTCGGTAGCGCCTGCCACGTGCGCACATGTCAGTGCGCAGTCCCTACTGTGTCAACATGGCGGCTAGGTACGGGTTCTGCCACAGATTGTCCACTCCCAGCCTCTAACTACGCCCAAAAATCCAATCACCGATCGTTAAAATCCATCTACGGTAANGAATTTTGTTTTCTTCTTGGTTACCTTAATACTTCTATATATTTTAAAAATATATTTATATATATAAGTAAAAATAAATAAATAAATAAAATGATTGTTTTTAATATGAATATCATTAAATAATTATAAAATATTTTCATTTTATTCCGGCTCTTGTTTTCCTTAGAGTTATTAAAGGGCTTTAGGGAAAAAATTCTTAGATATGGTTTGCCTTAAGGATGTTACCCACATTACTTTTATATATTGAAGTTTTATAAAATTGACCATTATTAAAATGACAAAGCTATGTTATTATTAAAAACTTACAAAATAATTCATTCTCTTCGCAATTAGTCTCTCTCTCTCTCTCTCCCTCTTTTAGTAATGTTAAAAAAGTACATATAAAAGACTAATCGATTTAATAAAGAAAAAGTAGGGGGGATAAAAGGGAAACTGTTTAAAAATCTGGGGAAGAAAACCAATTCTTTAATCAATGTCATCCGTTTGGTTAGATTTCATTTCGTTACAATAAAATTTCAACAAATCAAACTTTGAATACGAGAAAAAATAACTTAACAAAAAAACAATTTTCTATACAAGCGTAAGTAGATGCAATGTTCTGCTTTTTGTGTTTTTTTTTTTTTCTTTTCCTCTTTCCTTCTTTCTTCTTTGGTGTCAGTCAGGAAAGGCAAGTTTTCAAACTAAATCAGACGTGTCTATCCGAGAGGAAGCATTTTACACAGTTTTAATGCAGGGAAAATATCAGAAAAAGTAACACACATATACTGTATACAAAAGAAAAATTTTTAAAACGTTTGACGTTTTTTTTTCTTATTTTTTTAAAGCAACAGCAAAAAGATGCTGAATAACAGAAAACTGTTGTAAAACGCCTTGACTGGAAACAGTTAAAAATTCAAAGTTACATTTTTGGGAAGTGTTAATAAAAATTTTGATTATTTTCTGTAATTTTGTGTGTATTAATTCTATTCTCATTATATAGATGTGGTATGTATGCGTATGTGTGTGTGTGTGTTTATTATATATTATATATAATAAAAATAACAGAAAAAAAAAGACATCATCTTTGGTATATTTACCCAACTAATGTGAGTAAACGTGTCATTGTCAAATTGGGAGGAATCCAATTTCTTCATAGTCGATCGTCAGGAAAACGTGCATTTTTAGAAGAAAACTGTTCGGATTTCTCCACAGAAATCTCCTCTTTTTTTTCTCCTCTTTCCTCCTGCGAAAGGAAATAATATAAAAATCAGTTTTAATTTTTTATATCAACGTGATACAAATAACAACAGAAAAATTTCTTTACATTGATAACTTAAGTGGATTGAATTCGTTTAAACGGGAGAAACAAGTAAATATCGGAAAAGAAATACGATTTATTATTATTATTATTATTATTAAAAATATATTTTTATATCATTAATTTTTACTATTAAAATAAAAAGAAAAATATATATAGTTTATAATAAGATAAATTTAGAAGACGTAATTTTTGTTCTTTTTATGAATTTTTATTTTTAAATTATTTTCGAATTTAATCTGATTTTTAAAAGTAGTGTGTGTGTAAGTGTTTACTTTTTTTCTTCTTTGCCACTCTTCCTCTTTTAAATAAACTATGATTTTTATTCAAAGAGAAGGAGGAATCGCGAAACTAAATCCATTAAAAACAGAAGTTACAATTAATGTGACGACATGTGCCAGTTTATAGGTAGAGTTTACGACTCTGTGTAAAAGATTAATTAAGCCACTAGTTCCAGATTAATGAAAAGGAATATGTAGACTTGCCGGAACTTATTGTTGTCTGTAGTTTAGCCTCTAGCACTGGCATGGTGAATAGAACCCATCCCAACAATGAGTAGTAGGCAGATGACGCTATCCACCGACATACGACTATTTATTCGTTGACAGTTGGAAGTGAAGATGCTACTGAAACTTTTTAATGGCATCCGAAAAGGTTTAGAAAACTTTAAGTTATATAAATATAAATAAAACCGCGTTCCAATTTAGTTAAAGATCCTGGAAATTCAAACAACCGTACACTTAATCATTATTAAACCAAATGAAGTTGCATTGTGTATTCTCGCTTGTTTGCCTTTGTAATAGGAGTCAAGAATGTGCAAAATGCAATTCCATTTTAGTGTAGCGGTATGAAAATGTTTCTTGTAAAAGACCAGTCTAAATATATATCAACGTGTCAAAAATTTGTACACGATTTAGTTTTGTGCACTCTCACTTCAACCAGACATACACACGAAAGAAAAAAATAAAATAAAATCAGATAAAACTTCAAAGTTATCTTCTATAAAAGCTCAATTCATCAAACCATAAATTAATAAAAACAAAATTAAAAGGTTTTAGATCACCCTTTTCGGCTATTATAATATAATTTCTATACTTCAAAGTAATAAATATAATATAATTATAATTACATTTTCAAAGTTATGTTCAGTAAAAGATCAATTTATAAATTAATAAAAATTAAATTAAAATGTTTTAGACGACGTCCTCTCCGGTTATAATAATATAAGTTCTATTACTTTGCATTATGTAAAAAAAAAAGAAGGGAAAGCAATTCGAATCAAAGGCAATTCTCATTACTTTAACTAAAGAAAGAAATAAGAACGATAGCATTATTGGTTATTTACTCTCGATAATCCAAAAAATCTACTAGTAGTAAATAGGCTTCAAAAAGAAATATGAAAAATAAAATAACTTTGACATATAATGCTACTATCGTCGAATGGCGTTGCTTTCTTTGAAGAGATTAATGGTAATGTAGTATAAAAGGGAAATGACATGACTCTGTTTGAATTTAGAAGGATGACTGTAAATAATACTTCTGAATATTATAAAGAAATATACTCCGCTGATGGAATATCGTCCGACATCATATTTCGCTTCTACCATAATAGATGTATGCTATAATGGATTAATTGCGTTCTATGTACCGCATTTGTATATATATATATATATATATATATAAAGAATTCGTGTGGTTCTACTTTAAAAATATCGTTCCATGAATTTAAGTAAAGTTGTATTTCTTATCGGATGTTATACCTCTAATCATTTCCTTTGTGGTGTGTGTACGGAAAGGGGGGAAGTTAAATATGGCTGCGAATACGATTTCTTCGTTTCTAATCATACCGAAAATGCTCTATTAAAAAGAATATATAAAGAAATAAACAATGAATTTGTGATGAAGACGATGTATTCTGGCGTCTAGAAAATTGAATCGGGTGCACCGAGGCATTTACAGATGCCATCTTTAAAATCTGATAAGTTATCATTGAGCAGATTGGATGTAAGCTCGAATTTAATATTTTAATCGCCGTTATGTGCGCTTAATTGGAAAAGTATCACGTGATTGCTAAGTAAGCATTATCGATATTTTAATTGCCACGATTTATGTGTTAATTTAATATGTATAAAGCGAATTAAATGTTTAAGTGGCTTGTTAATGTTTAAAATTGAAAGTAAAGTGTTGCTTTACTTTATCTCGACAAAACCGGGTCAGTTATTTTCCTATCTTCTTTGAATATTTAACTCCGGGCCTAACAATTCTAAATATTTAAAATGAGTTTATTTAGAAATTTTATTAAGCGTAGATTTTTCCACTATATTACATTCTCTTCCCTATCAAACGGTCGGATGGTTTCCTGAGAAATTCTTATCAGAACTTATAAAAAAAAATAATAAAAATAATAATAATTTTGAAATTTAATTAAACACCCGCCACATAGAACGTCGTCCTAAATGACTAGAGAAAGAGGAAGTTGGAAATCTACATCACATATTCCTTAACCTTGCACACTCCTCCCCTTAATATCTTCACCATCCTGTTCAATTTACGACATCAATCTATCATTTATAATCCTCAGTTATTACAATCACAACAAACATCTATATACACCTGCTGCAATCATATTAAACTAATCTTTATATTAGTCCCTAATGATGCATAAAAGTAACAAGCGAATAGGGGGGAAGAAGGTAAGAGTCTAAGCAAAGTGAGATGACAATATATGTTGGGGTGAGAAGAGTTGGGGGGAAGGAAAACCAATGAAAAGAAAGGTCTATTTAACGAAATGAGGAGAGGTGGGCGAGGGTGTAGTAAGGATATAAATGGAGTTGAGGGCGTGTCCTTTAACATTCTGTCTAGACTAGCGAACAAGTAGGACGGATGACGTAACAATAGAGTCACAAGCAGCCTTTCTTTGTCAAGATCTTCACAAATGTCATGAAGTCACATTGGTTAAGATTTATCTTCGGGAATAAAAATAAACCCGTAAAGAATCGTTTGTTAATTAATCTTTATTTCTTAAACCAATTTATACTCGTTACTAATATCAATTAATTGTCGAATTATAAACGAATACAATCAGCAAAACTTCACCCCTCCCTCCCTCCCTCCCCCGTCTTCCAGCTTTTACCTTTATTAAATTATCTTCACGAAATTCCCTAATTGAAAATAAACACCACAACCGTAAAAAAAAAACAACAAAAAGGAAAAGGGGAGGGAAAAAGAAAAAAAAGACAGAAATGCGAATCATTCTACAAATTTTTCCTTAATTATAATTAATTTTTCTCTCTTCCGAAAAGAAAAAAAAAATAATATAATAATAATAATAATAACAACAACAACAATAATAAAATAATGATAATTTTTAAAGATAATCATTAAATGATCTTAACAAATATTTTTTTATACGTCATTAACTGTTGTAAAATTATGTTATTTGATTATTATTATTGTTATTTTTATTATAATTATTATTAGGAATTTAATTAATGCATAAATGTTTGTAAAAATATAATTTAATTTGAAAAAAAAAGAAAGGGGAAAAAATTCTGGTGTAGGCTATTATTTAAAAAAAAAATAAGGGGGAAAAATAGGGAAAAAGTTTCATTTAAGAAAAAGCATACATTCTCCTGATTTTTTATTATTGTTATTATTATTATTATACTTTTTTTTGTTTTTTTTCCTATTTGTTTTTTTTTAGAAAATACAAACTTCAAATAAAAGTGATCATTATCTAAATGTACAGAAAGAGCCATTGTTAGATCAAATATATAAATCTGAGTCATGCCTTTATTTATATTTCTTCCTGAATGTTTATAAGTATATATATATATATATGTTACAGAGGAAAAAAATAATAATAATAGTATAAAGAAAATATATACGTTAATAAATTTTAAACTTAATAAATTAATTTAGATTTTATTAATGTATACCTATAACAGGTTAAGTATAATTATACTTAGTTTATTAAAGGTATAATAAATTTTTAATTAAATATATTTGATGTAGATTGCTTGAAGAGATTTGTTAGTCGTTAGTCGAAACAATTGTTCGGTGTTATCTATTAATTATCGTTTTCTAATTGTGTTTTATTGTTACTGATCTTATCGGATTTTCGAGTGTTTTGTAATTCTATTTTTTCTTTTTTTTTACGTGTTTCAAATAAATAAATAATAATTCTAGAATATTCATTGTTTTCGAATGCTTGTTTCTGGTGTATGTATAATGAGATTTTCTATATATATATGTGCTTTATGTATAAAGATTACATACGCTGGATTTAATTTGGGAAAACAATGTAAGTATCTCCTTAATATACGTTTCAACATTGTTTTTTTCAATGTTTGTTTCAAGCGTATAGAAAACTGAGATCACTTTCTACTTACATGTTTCATGTGTAATGATTTAAGACGTGTTTTTCCGAATGTTTGGCTCACCAGTCAGTTGTATAAGTTATAATGTTTACACGTGAAACATACATCAATGAAACCATACATTGTTTTCTTGAGTACAGTAAGTGTTTTATGTGTAAATATTAAAACATTGTTTTCTAACATTTGCTTCGGTTGTATGGGTAATGGGCATTATTTTCTAAGTATGTGTTTCGTGTTTAGAGATTAAATGCATTTGTTTCAAGTATATAAGTCTACACGAAACATGTTTCACGTGTAAATATCAAAGACATCCGTTATTTAAATGTCTGTTTCTAGTGTAAAACTAGAAAATAATATACAATTTCCTATGGAAAAAACTCGAAACAAACACAACGAACAATTTTCTATCGTATTATTTATTGTTAAATAAGTATAATATAATGGGATTTAATTATAATTGACATTATTTTCTATTAATAAAGACGGTTTTGCAAGTATGTGTTTTAGATAAATGAATATGTAAACCATAAGTTAAATTAGAAAATA